TTGACGTACACACTATTTTTCAAAATTCTATCTAAATATTTAAAAGTTTTAACTTTTTCTAACATTTCAAAAAATTTCTAACGTTATTTGACGACATTATAATGTCGTCAAATGGAGTAACATAATTGGTGAGATGACATTTAAAAATATTATTATAATATGAGACATTGTACTTTTTGAATATTAAATATTTTACTTTGCATCTCTTATTCAACTAAATAACAACTATTTATTAAAAAAATAAATAAATAAGAATGGTTACTGTCAACATGAGATTAGCAATTAGCACATGTTTCTGATCCAGAAGTCATGGATTCGATCTCTCCATCCTCACTTATTTGCATTAAAATAAATAAATAACAACTATATCCCGAAAGTTTAACTCTCAAATTATGGAATAATTGATTTATTGGTTGTCCATCAAGAAATCAAACTCACATTTAATGTGTGTATATCAAATTTGCTAAGGCCGAGAACACCTCGATGCGGAGCAGGGCCTGGTCAGCCTTGAATGGGGCGGCCCCGATTGGTGACCTCCTGGCGTTTACCGATTTGTGCCCTTCTCCTTGACTCGTTTTCCAACTTCTTGTCTGAACCGTTTTATTTCCTTGTAACACATAGTATTAATGAATTTATTGGCATACTGTTATAATTAATTTGAAGAATTATTATTTTACAATATTATATAATTTATAATATGTTATATTTTACCTATTTTAATTTTAGAAATGAATTTATAACGTGAAATATTATATTTATTAAAGTTTTATTTTTTAAATGTAATTCTGCCTTTCAAAGTTTCAAATTCAAAATTTTGAAAACATAAAATATTGTTTTCAAAATTTTTAATATTTTGAATTCAAAAACAGTTTGCAAAAGCAATTTAAAAGAAATGTAATAAACAGTTATTCACTAAATTCGTTGATCTAATGAATTTGAAAACAACAAAATTATAATTTTTTTTTGGATGAAAGAAAGAAACACGCATAGTTTATGAAGTTTGTTGCACAGGTGACTTCCATTTAAATCTATGTCAAAAAACCAAACAAATACGATATTTCCTTGAGGTGATGCTTGTGAAAGAGATGTTCCACTAGAAATATTCTTGTTATTACTTTCATCTATATTTCTCCAAAAGTGGATATGCTCTAATAACTTCTAATAAATTAAATACATACATTAAAATACGAAGGCTTCTTATTCCACAACAACGGGGCTCTCAAAAGTCCACACTTTCGGCATCTGAGTAGCATTGGACTAAACTAAATACGTATTCTATTTAGTACTTCAGGTGCATCTGGAGCAGACTCGTCTCTATCTTTGGATTACGAGTTGGATACTTCCTTCATATGAAGTGGGTTGCCTTTCCGTGCTTCAAAGTCTAGTACTCAATCTCCCCTCATTGAAATCTAAAAAAATTATGAAAATTCTATCAAATGGCACTCAGCTCATATCTTTAAGTTAGATCGTTGACAAAGTTCAAAGAAAGGGTGGTGAAGTCCCGAACAAACAATGTTGCCTTAAGAATTTTGTTTTTCCTTTAGCAAATATATATATATATACACTTCTAATCAAACAAAGTGCATTATAATATGTGCAAGATTGGCTGAGTGTGACACTAAACCTTTACGTATTTATGCATTCCTATCTTTTTAGGTTCATCTTAGTTAAATTTTTAGTCAATAATTAATGAAGGTTTTATAATTAATGTCATAGTGATCAATAATTTTTTTTTTATTTATATTTTCTATATTAGTAGACGTTGTGTATGTATAAAGCGAAGGAAACCAAGCTTCATTGGATTGAGGCAATGTCTCCAAAAAAAAAATTTGGTTAAACTACAAATTTAGAAGAATTGCTCAAATACCAGTAAATGAGATTTATTTAGGACTCATTCACTCTTGGTATTATTTCGATTTTTATTTAGGACTCATTCACTCTTGGTATTATTTCGATTCATTTCGTATATGAGCCTCTTCAAATAGAACTCAGGGCTATTAATTCAATAATTTCTATTGAATGTGGTCAGATACTGATTCTAATAATTCTATTGTGAACTTAAAGAAAGTGTCAATTAGACTCCTGGCCTTTTAATTGTAATTTTAATAAAAATTATTGTATCCCTCTTCGATGATGAATATTCTATTTTATATGACATGGCAACAATAAGGATTAAATTGTTACCTACTTTACAAGGACTAAATTGTTACATATTAAAGTTCATTGACTAAATTGTTACTAATTTGAAATTACAATGACTAAATCATTACAAATTAAAGTTTAGGGACTAAATTGTTACTTTAACGAAAATACAGGGACCAAAAGTGTTTTTTAACCATAGAAATTTGACATAGGTACATTTTAATTTCATTTACCTTATCCAACATATATAAACTACAATTAGTGGTTTGGAGCCACATTTAGTAGATTAGGTGTTCAATTTCTAAACAAATTTGGAATGGTTAAATGATTATAGAAATTTAACAATGTCAAAACGAGCATAGCTCAACAGTAATTGACATATATCTTAAATCAAGAGATTGTTAGTTCAATCTCCTGCCTCCACATATTGTGTATTAAAAAAAAATAGAAAATTAACAATAAAAACTAAAATGGTTTTCTATCAAAGTTGAGGGACTAGATTAAAAAATTTGAAAGTCAATGAGCTAAAATAGAATATTTGCAAGTTACCAAATCGAAAAGTTCAATGACCAAAATAAGATTTAAATGGAGAAATATCAACGAGTCAGTGTAAAAAAAATAGTTTAAATTTTATTTTGGTCTCTAATCTTTCTATTTTATTTTAGCTTACAAACTTTCAAAATGTTTATTTTAGTCCTTGAACTTTTACAAAGTTACCATTTGAACCATCGGTGTCTATTTTAGTTCTTAAACCTACAAAAAATAATCATTTTGGTCGTTGCCATATTATTTTACCACCTAATATTTGCTTACCAAAGCTCTCATCGGCCAATATGGTTTGAGTACACGCTCACATACCATATTAGTACACATACTTGAAACTATATCATCAATCTGATTAAAAAAATAAAAATAAGAACTAAAATAATTATTTCTTAAAGTCCAAGAACTAAAATAAATAATTCGAAAATTTAGGAACGGAGATGAAACAAATCTAAAAGTTTAGAGCACATTCAGAGACCAAAATAAAATAATACTTAAAGTCTATGGACCAAAATGGAAATAATGCACAACCTCCACATCTATATTTTATATAAAAAGTTTTGCAATTCAAGGTTGCTCAAAAATAAGATAGGCCAAAAGAAACAAGGAGAAAATAATGTTATATCAAAAATTCGAATTAGAGAGCAAAAACAAAGATCTAAATGTGTCATTTTAGTCTCTAAAGTCTCGAGTTTATTTTACTTTGTTCTTTGAACTTTCAAAAAACAACAATCTTTGGTCCTTGACTATTTAATAGATGGATGGTTTAGTTCTAAATGTGTGCATTGACATGACGATATAAGTATGTTTAAAGGTAGGTTGAAGTGATTATTGAGTATTAACTAGCAAAGACCAAAAGAGTCATTTTCTTAAAGTTCATAGCCTAAAATAGAATAAACCAGAAAATTAAAGGATCAAAATGAGATTTATATCAAACCTATAATATTTACTAGGAATTGCAAAATGTGAGTTGCAAATTGAAAGAGCATCAAAAAAGAACATCCTTATTTTGTGACAAGACAAGAAATATAACTTAGAAACAGAACCTCCTAAAAGAGGTCAAAGAGTGAATTTGCCACCGTTCATGAAATGCATTCATATCTTTTTCCAAACTCTAATAGTCTATATTTCAGACTTTCAGACAAGCAATGATCTACAAGCGCAAGAACAGGGAATATAGCTAGAATGAGATATAAGCATATGACAAACAGTGGAAACTTTATCAAGTGGGATAGTGATTAAAGAATGAATTTAAAGAGCAAACATAATGATTTAAGTTTTTTTGGGTCAGGTGATGATCTAACCATATTTAAAACCCACCTTTTGGATCTTTCTATGTCGTATATTAGTTCAGGAAAGTCGTTCATTCATTTGAATTGGGATTTTGTAACCTAACTGAGAAGCACAATTTTATATTCCAACAGTCTGGGAAAACTTTAAATCCTTCCCCACCAAAATAATTTTGGTGCAAACTAGTGAGATAGATACCAAATTCTTTTCAGATTTGTACTGCTCACATGCTCTACTATCAGATCGTCAAGATCTTCAACTTAAGGAAGTCCAATGGATAATTACCCCCTCCCCCAAGAAAAGTAAATTAGGAATACCTCAGCTCTGCCTAACCCAGTTTCTTTCCAAGCTATGCCTCAGACCAAGAACCTCACACTAAGGGCTGAGCACCATCACCTGTAGAAACAAAAGCACCCATCAATGACACAGTAACAATAAGGATTTTTTTTTTTTTTTCGTCGTTACTTGTCTTCCATTCGGGTCAACTTATACCTATCTCGACTAATCTCTCAGGAGTCAAGACAATTAGATGACCYTCCAGTATTTGGTTGTCTAGAGACTTGTAGGATATTAATATCATAGATATAATAGGTAGGTGGTTATAATGGAATTTGTACTCATTCGTTCAACGTTCTTTTTTGCTCTTTTACATGTACAGCTCATGCAGAAACGAAATTTAGCTGCCAAAGCATGGAGGTGAAACCATAATCAGGTTGATTGTTCTTTAAAAAACCTACACTATTATTTAAAGGGATTCTTTGTCTGCTAAACATGGTTTGCAGTTMCAAATTTTAACACATTTCTCTAAAAATATGCATATTATAGATACAGCCACGAAATAAGAAACTTGTGAGATCGGTTGCAGGGGCAATTTGAGGGAACAGTATACATGATTTTTGCATGAAAAAACTAGTATGATGCATTTGCAAGTTAATAGGGCTCGTTTAGTAACGTTCCTATTTCTTGTTTCTATTTCTTCATTTTTAATAAAGAAAAATGATTTGCATAGCTCCAACATTCATGAATTCAAATATGATAAAACAATATATTTGTTTGTGGTGTGGAACAAATTTGGAAATTGGCACAAGAAAAGAGAAACTTGTTTTGGTTGTTTCCAAAATTTATATATAATTTTGGGAATGTTCCCAAAAAAAGAGAAACAAGAAACATGATCACTTGTAAAATGCTTAGATTTCTCCAGAAAATTGGAAACGAGAAACAAAAAACGGAAATGTTACCAAACGAGCCCTAGATGATTCACATTACTGGAGAATACATGAAACACAATGACCGTAAACCACAATTTAGAGAGAATGAAAAGCATTACCTGACCATCAAAACTAATTAGATTTCTCCCTTCAATCTGTTCATGCTTCAAACTTCAAAGAATATTTTATTCTTCTCATTTCTTTCATAGTCCAAATGCTCGCTCCCAACTAGTCTTTCAATCATTTCAAATGATTTCATGACATGCTATTGTCGTATGGCAGGTTAACCAATATGCTCGTGTTTCATCTGGGGAGCATAAAGATGCCAAAAGAATTCCAAGTTTCATTGAAGGCCTACTTGACCGATTATTGTTACTCAGATAAACAGATATCCTACCCTATTTTATCCTATTAAGATACCAATAAATCATAAATCTCCTTGGTCTTATCGTGTGATCTATCTCCTGAAACAAATCCATGAACTATTCCTTTTAACTCAATGAAGCTCCAACCCGGTTTCTTGACAAGATCTTTCTCGTACACAACACTTCGTAATTTTTCAACGTCATGCCACTGCCCAACAGTAGCCTGTGCATTGCTCAACAAAGTATAATAGCCTACATTATCAGGTTCTAATTCAAGAAGCCTGTGTGCAGCATAGTTAGCGATTTTATTGTCTTCATACACTCGGCACGCACCCATAAGAGCGCCCCATATCCTGCCATCACGAAAATTTGTCATTCTTAATATAATTGCAAAGGCCTCCCTTACCCTTGTTGATCTACTCAAAAGATCAACAAAACAAGTATAGTGTTCTAAATCAGGGTTGATGTTGAATCTTGACCTCATTGAATAAAAGATTTGACAGCCCTCGCTTACAAGGCCAGAGTGGCTGCAAGCAGATAACAGACTTAAGAAAGTGACATTATTTGGGGTCACTTCTTCTCTCATCATTTGAAGGAACAGATTGAGGGCGTCGAAACCTAGTCCATGAGCACCATATCCTTCAATCATGGAAGTCCATGCCACAACATCTTTGATTAAGATTAAATCAAAACATTTTATAGCAGAAACCAAGCTTCCACATCTTACATACATGTTAAGGATAGATGTTCCTAACTGCGTATTATAGATCTCCAAACCGTTGAGTCGGATAAGGTAACAATGTATTGCTTTCCCCAATTGCAGAACACCCAAATGGGTGTATGCATCAATTAAGTGTTTTAAAATTCCAACACTGGGTTTCAAGCCAGCAGCTTGCATTTGGTTGAAGATCTCGACCGCCCCATC